CCCCCCGCTTATTCAACTTATATGCAGAATACATCATGCGAAAAGCTGGACTGGAGGAATCCCAAACCAGAATTAAGATTGCTGGAAGAAATATCCACAACCTCAGATATGCAGTTGATACCTCTCTGATGGCAGAAAGTGAAGAGGAATTGAAGAACCTCATAATGAGGGTGAAAGACGAGAGTGACAAAAATGGTCTGAAGCTCAACATCAAAAAAACTAACATCATGTCCACTGGTCCCATCACCTCTTGGCAAATAGAAGGGGAAGATATGGAGGCAGTGACAGATTTTACATTCTTGGGCTCCATAATGATGACAGCAGCTACGAAATTAAAAGACGCCTGCTTCTTGGGAGGAAAGCAATGACAAACCTAGACAGCATCTTAAAAAGCAGAGAGATCGCCTTGCCAACAAAGGTCTGCATGGTCAAAGCTATGGTTTTTCCAGTAGCAATGTATGGAACTGAGAGCGGGACCATAAATAAGGCTGACTACCGAAGAATTGATGCTTTTGAATTGTGGTGCTGGAGGAGACTTTTGAGAGTCCCCTGGATTGCAAAGAGAACAGACCTATCAATTCCAAAGCAAATCAACCCTGAGTGCTCACTGGAAGGACAGATCCTGAAGCTGAGGCTCCAATACTTTGGCCATCTCATGAGAAGACTCCCTGGAAAAACCCCAGATGTAGGGAAAGTGTGAAGGCAAGAGGAGAAGGGGACAGTGTCACTGAAGCTACCAATATGAATTTTACACAACTCCAGGAGGCAGTGGAAGATAGGAGGGCCTGGCATGCTCTGGTCCATGGGGTCACAAAGAGTCAGACACGACTTAATGACTAAACAACAAATATTAATTTTGAGATAAATGTTTTGATGAAATATAGACATTGTGCCAAAACAGAAACATGCAGAATTGCTTTATAGCAAATAGGGCTACTGGGTTATCTGTCTCTGTGAAGTATACATTGAGTGTCAGTATCAGACCAAGGTTTAAAAATGTAAGAAAGGCTATGCCAGGTCAGGTCAAAGCTCTATCTACTCCTATATTCTATTCCCACACCATCTAATCAGATTCTTAAGGGAAGTCCCAAAGCAGGACTTGAGTCATTTCAGAAAACTGTCTGTCCTGTACATACTTGGAAATGCCAGGGTTGAGTCTAGCACAGGTATTCTACCACAAACATGGTCACTGATGAACTGGGTAAAAAGAAAAATGCAACACCTCTGAAGCATATACAGTGATGCTTGCAAGACGAATGCCTTGCGCAACGAAAAACTCGCAAGATGAAAGCGTTTTGCGATTTTTTTGTAGATATATATGAAATGCAAGTGTTCTTTATTTGGATAGTTGCTATTATTTAAATAGATCTAGCTGACCTGTGTCAGTCTGTTGTTGAGGTTCTACACTTGAGGGGCCTCTTTTCTCTCTTGATTTTTTCTTCTTCTTAAGACCAACCTAAACAGTTAAATAGAAGACAGCTTCAGGAAAAGGACTAGACCATGACACCTCTTCCAACAAAGGACTACTTTCTGTAAAATACAACACTCCACAACTCTTGCTACTGAGCTACAAACCTTTTTAAAACCACTGCACTGAAGGCCAGGCTTGATGCAATGCCATTGTTATCTTGGTCGCACATTTACACATCATGCTTTAGAACTTCCATATACTGTACTTCACCTACTACGTTCCAGCACACTTTGTGATCACCAGACTGAACTCATCTAAACAGCTTATTGTGGTACCAAGAATTTGATAAACCTCTGGCTTTTGTTGCCAAACAACCTCCAGGTATTGTCTGAAGACACTGTGTATAAGGCTCAAAGCTCACAGTCACAAGCCAGGAATTTTAAGTGAAGGACACAGCAGAGCTTACACATCACCCATTCAGTGCCAATACTCCACAGACTCCTGCAGTACTCTAGATGCAACAATAGAGAAGGTATATCCCAAAAGCTGAGTTGTTCCCAATTTGTGTGGGTTGCTCCTGTTCCCCCCCCCCGGCAAACAAATTAGCTATGTAATTTAAACAATTCAACACACAACATATTAGGGATGTGTATCTGTTTCAGAGTAAGAATCCAAATGCTGGTTAGTTCAATGGTTTAGGTATCTGAGCCAGAGGTTAGGAGTTCAATTCCCCACTGAGCCTTCCTTGATAGGGGCTGGACTCGATCCATAGGGTCCTTCCAGCTCTGCAATTCCAAGATGATTATGATTAAATCACTGAGTAGTGATATTTCTGTGTTTCTGACTCAGCTATGGGGTTGTTTAAGAAACCTTCATTGCTCTCTGGTCAATTCTCCAGCCTCTAAAAATCACTGAAGTTGGATTTGTTATTTTGGCAGTCAGAATGGTCGAAAACTGGGGAGGGGGACCTTAGTGCAAGTTGCTACAGCAAAAGAAGGAAACATTGACAGCTGAAATCCCAATAAAAGCTAATGCCTCTCCAGGAAATTCTAATTGCTGAGCCCCTGGGAAAGGTTCAGATCAACCTCACTGGACTCCACACTGTATATTTTTGTTCACCTGACTAAGCATTTCACATCCAGGCACAACAGAAAGAAAGTTCTACATTGTTTACTAGATTGGTCACATTCTATCATTTCCTTCCTTTTAGGTATCTGGCTACCCTGAGCCTTTGTTACATTTGAGAAAAGTAAATGTGGGATGACGGCTGACTCTCTTGTGCAGGCTTTGATTGGATAAGTCAAAGTAATGCTAGGGACTAAGTTTCTCTTGCTATTTTCAATTTTCTTTTCTTTTAATGCTTGCTCCTGACTAATGTAGGGTGCATTCACTGAAGGGCAGGAGCTGAGCAACAAGTATGAGAGCAAGTCTCCCTACACGTTGAAGGCTCGCCATGTTCCCAGATTTGATGGCACCATGTAGCACTTTCAATCCCAAATTAGAGGTCTTTGTTTTCCCCATTCAGTTTCTCTCCCCAATCCAGAAACATAAAGACCTGAGAATAAGCAGTGCAGGCCACCTCGAAAACAGCTCAGGGCTGGTTAATCCCAACCTGTACAACAGGTTGTTTTGATACAGATCTGTTTTGACCAATCATTCTTTGCACTGCCCTACAAAATACTACTGGTAATTTATTTTGGTGAGAGAAATGGCAATGGGGCAAACATTAATGGAGAGGACACATCCTGGTCAATGACACAGATGGCTGTGTTCCTTGTTCCTGCTTTCACTTGTGTTCACTTGGTTCTCCAGACAGCGTGTTAGACTGATAAAGTCCCACCTGCATATCTTAAAATCAGGGCCAGCCCAAGACATTCTGCTGCCTGAGGCAAAGAACAAAATTCCCATTCCATACACAAAACCTGACCAGACTGGCAGATGAATCTTTTCTTCAGTACTGGTAACCAGCCAGTATTCTCTCTCCTCCATTTGAACGCAGAAGGCTTGCTTAAGGGATGGAGACCAGGTTGCATGCCACACATCTCACTTCTCCCCAAACTCTTCCGCTGTCTCCAGCATCTGAAACCTGGTGTGCCCACGTCGCTCTGTTTGCATTCCCACAGTGGAGCTTATAAACATTTCATGTTGTGCCATAAATGGCTGCTGAGTTAATAAGAATTGCACTCCGTCATCCTGGGGGGAGGGGGGAGGGGGAGGGAGGAGCCATGAAGAGCTATGCCTTGATTTCAAACAAGATTTTTATATTGATTGGTGAAAAAGTATATTTACACTTTATCCTTACTGATGTCAGGGTAGAGCATGATGAGCAGGAGAATAATCATACAACACAACATAAAACAAAACCACTCCTGGTTATATATAAATATGTACTAGCTATTTTAAAGGCCTAAGTCGGCTGTTGCTGCAGAATATGGTTTTGGTGCCCTGTCAGCCTGCAAACCTCGCTCTCTCTCTTAGCAACAGCATGCCTAAGCTTTGTGTCTCTATGTCTGAAGAAGCGGACTTGATCCACGGAAGCTCACATCAAAATACAGCAGCTAGTCTTGAAGATGCTGCAACATTTTTGCCTTTTCTATTTTCCTTTTAGTTATTTCTTGATCTGTATGCACAGACTAAGGGGGCTCCCTCTTCTAACACGAAGCTTTGCCTCTGTTTTCTCTTCCTCCCCCACAAGCCATTTATCTTTATTATTAGCATTACTATTATTCACCTCTCGGAGTGAGTAGCAGCCAGAACTGGACAACGAAGCTAATAGGCGGCTGGTGACCCGACCGAGGAAGGTGACACACCAGCCCCAAATTTGTAGGTGAGCTACGGTAAAGACACCGTAGCAAAAGGTGGCACTCGTATTACCTGCAAGGATTTCTCTCACATACACGAACACAGAGAGAAGTACCGTTTTCCCACCCCAATAAAACCACGAGGAAAACGGGGGAGGATTTTCATTTTCTGTCACTGGAGCCGCACGAGAGGCTCCTTGCGGTGGGAAAAGCTCTGAGTGTATCCAGCCGGGTGGGGCGGGAAGTCCTGGAGGGCAGGTGAGGGAAGCTTTGGGAGCGGGAAGCCGGCTTAGGGGTCGTTTCCCGCCCCCTCCCCCAAGCCGAATGCGACACGACGGAGGGCGGGAGAGAGCCCCGCTAAGACCCTCCAACCTCCGCGCCCAGCGCCACGCCCCCCTTCCCCGATAGGGCCGAGCCATTGCCGCCGCTGGCGGCACACAGGAGGTGGGAAAGCGCGAGGGAGCTTCCCTGCACGCCTCAGCGAGCGCTTAGTGTTCCCCCCCGCCGCCTTGCGCTTGCGCGGTCCTTCTTCTCTCTCCCCCCCCCCACATCCCCATTCCCTCCTCCCACTTCACTCAGCTCTCCCCCGCTTTTCCCCTCGCCCGTTACTTCGCCTCTTGGGAAGCCGACCCCGCGAATCCCGGACCTTGCGGGCGGCGGCGGCGCGAGGGTCGCCCTCGGAAGCCATGGCATAGCCTCGCCGCCCCCCCCCCCGAATTAAAACAAAACGAAGAAATAAATAAACCCGGAGCCGGGGCGCTGCCGGGCGAGCCTCCTTCCAGACGCCGACAGGGAGACCCGGCTCATCATGCAGTGGAGGTCTCCCGGCGGCCGCGCGCGTGGAGGTGGCTGCTGCTCCTAGTGGAAGCGCCGCCGCTCGGGGAAAGCAAGCTGCACGCGTGGGAAGAGCCGCGAGGTGAGGCGAAGGACGCTTCGGGGGTCTGCGGGTTATTTTTGGGGAGGGGGGCGATCAGTGGCATTCCGACGTGGGGTGGGAGTGTGTGCGTGCGTGTGTGGGGAAATATTTGCTCCTGAACCTTGCCCATGGATTGCCTCTCAAACGAGTGCGAAGGGAGAGGTGGTGATGGTGGCTTACCGTACCAGATTTCTGGGCAGGAGAAAAAAAAGGCAAGGATGGCTTTTCCCGGTAGGATCAGGTGGGGGGCCGGGGCTTTTTTCTGCAGACCCACCAGGAAACTTTTTCGTTTTCGTCCTCCAATGGATTTCCCGAAGGGAGCAAAGGGGATCAGGTGGGGGGCCGGGGCTTGTTTCTGCAGTCCCACCAGGAAACTTTTTCGTTTTCGTTCTCCAATGGATTTCCCGAAGGGAGCAAAGGAGGGTCACGCAGAGGGCACTTGTTGGGATGCAGCAGAACACTGAACGGGACGTGATTTATTTTCTACTCGCTCTTTTTCTCCCCTTGTCACATGGAGGAGCGTGAGATTGTGTGGTTCTGCAGGCAGCGCACGCGGGACGCATGAGGGAGGGCATGTTAATAGCCGTGCGCCCATGTGAGGTTTGTGGGTCTGTCTGCATTTCGGGATGCGTTTGGCAAGGAGTGTGTGTGTGTGTGTGCGCGCGCGCCTTTGTGCATATGCGTTTGTGCGTAGCAACCTGCATTGGGGTGGCCGTCTGCATTTTCCTTTGTATGTGAGGGTCACTGCTGCACGCCTGGTTACTTTCTGGTTTCCAGGGCGGGTGGATGATCAGAAGAGAGTGCCTCTCTGGACTCTTGTGGATTTTGCTTAGGATTTCTTTGTGTGCGCAACTGGGCTCCTTATTTGGGATCATTTGCAGGGAAGGTATATATTCACCAAATGGCAAGAGGTTTAGCGTAGCGTGGGACAAGAAATAAGTGTCCTTCATGGAAGTGTTTGGACTTGAGAGGTCAGTTTAAGAAAAAAAAAATCCTCCCCAGCATATTTAGATCTGGTGTTTGATTTGTCTGTAAATGTACATTGGTAAGCACTGTGTGCTGTCTGTCCTTCCCCCCGGTCTTTTTCCCCCCATTGACCTTAGGCTGTGTTGTGTTGGGAAGCTCACACGTAGCTGCCTCAAGAGACTTCTACCTAGGGTCATAAGTGTAGTGGGCAGGAGAAAAGCTGGTGTTTCTTGTGTGACCATTGAGCTTCCAGAGGTTTCTTGCCAGGCATGAGCCACAGTCGCCAGAGGTGAAGTTTAGAGGCAGGGCACCAATGGACAATGAATTTTGCCACTGAGGTCTGGGTTGGAATCCTGATTCTCAATAAGAAAAGCTAAGGTGGAAGGGAATCAATGCAATCCACCTGGTACCCTTAAGATGTGTCGGAATATAACTCCCACCATTTCCAGGCAGCAGCAATCATAGTGGTTGAGGATGATGGAAGTTTATTTATTTATTCAATTTATACCAAAGTCTATTGTAATTAATCCATTTCATCTAGAGAGATCCAGCGTGGGCAAAATTAGTGTTATTGATATATCTGATCTCTTGGCATCTTTAAAGGGTATGTTAAGCTGTTTGTTTAAATTATTTATGTGCTGCTTTTCTCCTCATAGGGGATCCAGGGTGGCTCCCAGCAGATAAAAAAAAACAAGCAACAAACAAAACAACAAATGAAAAAACACAGTATAAATTGCAAAACAATTAGACATTCCTTAAGATTTTTTAAAAATATGTATAGTAATTTTTAAAAACCTAAAAGTTAAAGAGCAGCATTCCTGAGATAACTTATTGGTTATTGGAAAGACTGAAGAGGAAAGTCTTTCCCTGTCAATGGAAGAACAAGAGGAAGGAGACCAATCTCCCTTCTCAGGGCAGTTATTTCAAAGCCTGGGAGCAGCCACTGAGAAGGCCCTGTCTCGTGTCTTCACCAAGTGAGCTTGGGGAGGTGGTGGAACTGAGAGAAGGTTCTTAATTCTTTTCCTTTGGATGTATTCCAATAAGAATACTGTGCTATGAAACTGATTATTTCCTCTCTGTTCTTAATATTCCCAAGGAAAATCAGCATTTTTAATGAAACCAAGCTTTGGTTGCCTGAGCATGAGAGCATCATTTCCATAGTGAGAGATGTTACAGTCCATGCTAGCCTTGGAAGTGTTGCATTTTGACTTGGAAATTGCTCCTTTTCATTCAGATGACCGAGAGTCAGTTATGGTTCTTTAGTGGTCTTATTTCCTCCTGGCCAATGAGTGTAGACTGTAGAATGAGACTTGATCATTCCTGAGCAAACATTTTATTACTGAAAGCAAAACAAAAGTATGATGCACCTTTGAGGCAAACAAATTTATATCAGCATGAGCTTCCAAGCCAGCAATTACTTCAGAAGTATCTTCAAAGAACTGGATTGTTCTCAAAGAACTCACACTGAAATAAATTTGTGAATTTTAAAGATGACATAATACTTGTGCTTTGTCGAAAAAATGCTACCTTTTATTTCTGTCTATGGAAATCTCTGCTTGTCACCATCTCTAGTTGAATGAATATTTGCACTCACCTTACACAGCAGGAGGTTTGGTGCAAGCTGAGCTTCCTGGAAAGATGATCTTAACTCTTTGATATTAGTCCTTGGAAATGGACTCTATGCGTTTCTACCTTTTGAAGTGAAATAGCTGAGATTAACACATAAAAATGTAATAATAATAAATTATCCTTTAGCTTTGATCATCGTAGGATAATTCAGGCAATATTGGGAAAATTTATATACAGTATATGGTTCCTAGTTTTGGAGTGAATATTCCCATCTTTTCATTTTTTTCCCTACAAAATTGAAACTAAAATACAAATTCAATAGTGACTACACATAGTATACAATTAACTCTCCCCACCCATGCTACCTTTCTGTCATTTCAACCTAAAATTGTTGACTTATCACAGCATTGTCTGTATTCTTGGTTATGAAAAAAAAAGAGTGGGACTGGACCAGTTTTGCCGTCAATTTGGTGGATTATTGGGAAGGGCAAATGAAGTGGAACAGGAATACTTCATTTACAATGGGAGTGCTAGAAAACTGAGATGTTTAACTCTTAAGT